CTGGGATCTGGGATCCACCCTGGATCCTCCCTGGATCCGGGATCCTCCCTGAACCAGCCCCTGCTCCTCCCGGGACCCTCCTGGGATCCTCCTGGGATCTGGGATCCACCCTGGATCCTCCCTGGATCAACCCCTGCTCCTCCCGGGATCCTCCTGGGATCTGGGATCCACCCTGGATCCTCCCTGGATCCGGGATCCTCCCTGAACCAGCCCCTGCTCCTCCCAGGATCTGGGGGTTTTGGGATCCTCCCTGGATCAACCCCTGCTCCTCCCGGGATCCTCCTGGGATCTGGGATCCTCCCTGGATCCGGGATCCACCCTGAACCAACCCCTGCTCCTCCCAGGATCCGGAGTTTTGGGATCCGCCCAGGATCAACCCCTGCTCCTCCCGGGATCCTCCCGGGATCTGGGATCCACCCTGAACCCTCCCAGGATCCGGGATCCGCCCTGAACCCTCCCGGGATCCGGAGTTTTTGGGATCCCCCCTGAATAAATCCCTTCTTTTCCCACTGATTTTGTTTTTATTTTTTTTGGGTGTTTGGGTCATTCCCGGAGCCCTCAAATCCCGCCGGATCCTCCCCTAAAAAAAATCCCCAAAATCCCCAAAATTCCCAAAATTCCGAGGCTCTTTTCTTCCCAGATCTGATTTTATTGGGGGATCCGGGAATTCCGGGATCGCTTCCCGCTGCCCCGGGATCCCGGCGGGAATTTGGGGGGAAATTCGCCGGGGGAACCCCGGGGGAATCCCTGGGAATTCCCGGGAATTCCCGGATGGGCTCATCCCTGCTGGGGCGGGCAGGGCTCCCCGGGACGCTCCAGGTGGATTCTGGGGCGGATTCCAGCGGGACTGGGAGGCGGAGAGGGGATTCCCGGGAATGCTGAGGGATTCCTGGGGGATTCCTGGGAATGCTGAGGGATTCCCGGGAATGCTGAGGGATTCCCAGGGGATTCCCAGAAAATTCCTGGGATTCCCGGGAATGCTGAGGGATTCCCGGGGGATTCCTGGGGGATTCCCGGGAATGCTGAGGGATTCCCGGGGGATTCCTGGGGGATTCCCGGGAATGCTGAGGGATTCCCAGGGGATTCCCAGAAAATTCCTGGGATTCCCAGGGGTGCTGAGGGATTCCCGGGGATGCTGAGGGATTCCCGGGGGATTCCCGGGAATGCTGAGGGATTCCTCGAGAATTCCTGGGATTCCCGGGGGTGCTGAGGGATTCCCGGGGGATTCCCGGAAAATTCCTGGGATTCCCAGGGGTGCTGAGGGATTCCCGGGGATGCTGAGGGATTCCCGGGGGATTCCCGGGAATGCTGAGGGATTCCTCGAGAATTCCTGGGATTCCCGGGGGTGCTGAGGGATTCCCGGGGGATTCCCGGAAAATTCCTGGGATTCCCAGGGGTGCTGAGGGATTCCCGGGGGTGCTGAGGGATTCCCGGGGGATTCCCGGGGGATTCCTGGGAATGCTGAGGGATTCCCGGGGGATTCCCGGAAAATTCCTGGGATTCCCAGGGGTGCTGAGGGATTCCCGGGGATGCTGAGGGATTCCCGGGGGATTCCCGGAAAATTCCTGGGATTCCCGGGGGTGCTGAGGGATTCCCGGGGGATTCCTGGAATTCCTGGGAATGCTGAGGGATTCCTGGGGGATTCCCGGGGGATTCCTGGAATTCCCGGGGATGCTGAGGGATTCCCAGGGGATTCCTGGAATTCCTGGGAATGCTGAGAGATTCCCGGAAAATTCCTGGGAATGCTGAGGGATTCCCGGAAAATTCCTGGGAATGCTGAGGGATTCCCGGAAAATTCCTGGGAATGCTGAGGGATTCCCAGGGGATTCCTGGGGGTGCTGAGGGATTCCCGGGGGATTCCTGGGATTCCCGGGGGGTTCCCGGAATTCCAGAGGGTGCTGAGGGATTCCCAGGGGATTCCCAGGAATTCTGAGGGATTCCTGGAGAATTCCTGGGATTCTCGGGAACACTGAGGGATTCCCAGGATTCCCGGGGGATTCCCGGGGGTGCTGAGGGATTCCCGGAAAATTCCCGGGATTCCCGGGGGTGCTGAGGGATTCCCGGGAGATTCCCAGAATTCCTGATGGTGCTGAGGGGTTCCCAGGGGATTCCTGGAATTCCCCAGGGGTTTCCCATGGAATTCCCGAGGGATTCCCGGAATTCCCAGGGGTTTCCTGGAATTCCCAGGGGTGCTGAGGCATTCCCGGGGGTTTCCCGGAATTCCCAGGGGTTTCCTGGAATTCCCGATGTTGTTGAGGGATTCCCAGAGGATTCCCAGAATTCCCGGGGGTGCTGAGGGATTCCTGGAGAGTTCCCGTGGGATTCCCGTGATTTCCCGTGGGATTCCTGGAATTCCCAGGGGTTTCCCGGGATTCCCGTGGAATTCCCATGGAATTCCCAGAATTCCCAGAATTCCCAAGGGTGCTGAGGGATTCCTGTGGGATTCCTGGAATTCCTGAGGGTGCTGAGGGGTTCCCAGGGGTGCTGAGGGATTCCCGGGGGGTTTCCCGGAATTCCCGAGGGATTCCCAGAATTCCCAAGTGTGCTGAAGGATTCTCAGGGGATTCCCGGAATTCCCAGGGGTTTCCCGGGATTCCCGTGGAATTCCCGTGGTTTTCCCATGGAATTCCTGTGGGATTCCCGGTATTCCCAGGGATTTCTGAGGGTGCTGGGGGATTCCCGGAATTCCCAGGGGATTCCCGGGGGATTCCCGTGGTTTCCCAGGGGATTCCCATAATTCCCATGGGATTCCCGCAGGATTCCCGTGCTTTCCCCCTGGAATTCCCGGGGGATTCCCGGGATTTCCCAGGGGTTTCCTGGAATTCCCATGTGTTTCCTGCAGGATTCCCGTGGTTTCCCCCTGGGATTCCCGTGGTTTCCCCCTGGAATTCCCGTGGGATTCCTGTGATTTCCCAGGGGATTCCCATAATTCCCGTGGGTTTCCTGCAGGATTCCTGTGGTTTCCCCCTGGAATTCCCGTGGGATTCCCGTGAGTTTCCCCCTGGGTTTCCCGCAGGATTCCCGTGGTTTCCCCCTGGGTTTCCCGGGGGATTCCCGTGGTTTCCCCCTGGGTTTCCCGCGGGATTCCCGGCATTCCGGGCTCACTTCTGGAAGTTCTGGAGCGGGTAGTGCTCCCCGTAGGTCTCCAGGTGCCGCTGCAGCTCCTCCCGCTGCCGCCGCAGCCGCGGGGGCATCTCCCGGTAAACGTCGGAGAAGAGCAGGTGGGGAGGGGGCTTCGGCTCCCGCTCCGCCTGCTCGAACGCCTCCAGCACCTGCGGGAGCGCCGGACACAATTCCCGCTTTTCCGGCCCCAAATTCCCGCTTTTCCGGCCTCAAATTCCCGCTTTTCCAGCCCCAAATTCCCGCTTTTCCAGCCCCAAATTCCCGCTTTTACGGCCCCAAATTCCAGCTTTTCCGGCCCCAAATTCCCGCTTTTACAGCCCCCAATTCCCGCTTTTCCAGCCTTTTCCAGCCCAAAATTACAGCCTTTCCAGCCCCAAATTCCGGCTCTTCCCAACCCAAAATTCCGGCTTTTTCAGCTCCAAATTCCGGCTTTTCCAGCCCCCAATTCCAGCTTTTACAACCCAAATTCCAGCCTTTTACAGCCCCCAATTCCAGCCTTTTCCAGCCCCAAATTCTGGCTTTTCCACCCCCAAATTCTGGCTTTTCCAGCTCAAAATTCCAGCTTTTCCAGCCCCCAATTCCAGCCTTTTCCAGCCCCAAATTCCCGCTTTTCCACCCCCAAATTCCGGCTTTTCCGGCTCGAAATTCCAGCTTTTCTGGCCCCCAATTCCAGCTTTTCCAGCCTTTTCCAGCCCCAAATTCTGGCTTTTCCGGCTCAAAATTCCAGCTTTTCCGGCCCCAAATTCCGGCTTTTCCAGCCCCAAATTCCAGCTTTTACAGCCCCAAATTCCCGCTTTTCCGGCCCCAAATTCCCGCTTTTCCAGCCCCCAATTCCCGCTTTTCCAGCCTTTTCCAGCCCAAAATTACAGCTTTCACAGCCCCAAATTCCGGCTTTTCCCAGCCCAAAATTCCGGCTTTTTCAGCTCCAAATTCCGGCTTTTCCAGACCCCAATTCCAGCTTTTACAACCCAAATTCCAGCCTTTTACAGCCCCCAATTCCAGCCTTTTACAGCCCCAAATTCTGGCTTTTCCAGCCCCCAATTCCGGCTTTTCCAGCCCCAAATTCCAGCCCCAATTCCAGCTTTTCCGGCTCAAAATTCTGGCTTTTTCAGCCCGAAATTCCAGCTCTTTCCAGCCCCCAATTCTGGCTTTTCCCAGCCCCAAATTCCGGCTTTTCCAGCCCAAAATTCCGGCTTTTACAACCCAAAATTCCAGCCTTTTCCAGCCCCAAATTCCAGCTTTTCCCAGCCCAAAATTCCATCTTTTCCAGCCTGAAATTCCAGCTTTTCCAGCCTGAAATTCCAGCTTTTCCAGCCTGAAATTCCAGCTTTTCCAGCCTGAAATTCCAGCTTTTCCAGCCTTTTCCAGGCCCAATTCTGGCTTTTCTGGCTCCAAATTCCGCCTTTTCCAGCCCCCAATTCCGGCTTTTCCAGCCTTTTCCAGCCCAAAATTCCAGCTTTTTCAGCCCCAAATTCCCGCTTTTCCAGCCTCTTCCAGCCCCCAATTCTGCCTTTTCCAGCCTCAAATTCCCCAGGCATTTCCCACCCCAAATCCCGAATATTTCAAACCCCAAATCCCAAATATTCCAAAAACCCCGAATATTTCAAACCCCAAATCCCAAATATTCCAAACCCTGAATATTTCAAACCCCAAATCCTAAATATTCCAAACCCTGAATATTTCAAACCCCAAACCCCAAATATTCCAAACCCTGAATATTTCCCACCCCAAACCCCAAATATTTCCCAGCCCAAATCCTGAATATTCCAAACCCCGAATATTTCAAACCCCAAACCCCAAATATTCCAAACCCTGAATATTTCAAACCCCAAACCCCAAATATTCCAAACCCTGAATATTTCCCACCCCAAACCCCAAATATTCCAAACCCCAAACCCCAAATATTTCACAAACCCCGAATATTTCAAACCCAGGATATTTCCCACCCCAAACCCTGAACATTTCCCACCCCAAACCCCAAATATTTCAAAACCCAAACCCCAAATATTCCAAACCCC